TTGCTGAGTATCTGAGGCCCCAGAAAGCGCCCCCAACCCGACTGAGACTGTTCAAAGATAGGGCCACCCTGTTTTTAAGATAGTCCAAGTGAGGGGTAACGTTGAATTTTTTCCCAAATTTTATGCCTAGATAAGTGACCTCCTCACTTGGATGTATTCTCGATCCTTGAATCGTTATGATAATAGGGTGTGCCCTATCAGTTTTCCCTTTCATGACAATTGTATGAGTCTTTGAAGCGGCCATTGATAACTTTTTCCTCTCGTACTATTCTCCGACCAAGTTGGCCCATCGTTCTGCTTCTTGTCTTAAGCCGGCTATGCTATTGGAGGCCACCACTACTGCCAAATCGTCAACGTATCGAGTGGCATGGAACCGCTGTTCTTCTAACACTCCCAACAACTCATCAAAAACGAGCTTCCATAAAGCTGGACCAAGTACCGATCCTTGAGGACATCCCCTCTCTATGAAAGCTTCAGTCTCATAAGAACTGCCACGAACCTTTACACGTCTATCCTGTAAGTAGCTTCTTATCAAGGCATATAAGTTACTGGGAGCATCATATTTCTGCAGCTGCTGGAGCACAAGAGGCCACCAGACGCTGTCGAAGGCGGAGGATATGTCAAATAGCATCAACATGACATACCGCTCCGTCCTCAGTTCAACGTCTTCACCTACTCTCAGCAGGGCATCAGCGGTTCCTTTGCCGTGGACGACTTGCTCTGGCAAGAACTGGTGCTAGACTGGTCATGATAAGGTTCTCCAGGACCTTGCTCATCACAGGGAGGAGACATATGGGTCTATATGACTTGGGGAGCTGTTTATCCCTATTCCCTCCCTTGTAGAGGAGTCTCAAATCGGCGATCTTCCAGGTTTTGGGAAAGTATCCCCTCTCCAGACAATCATTATATATTCCCAAAAGTCTCTCATCAATGTAGGGAATACTATTCTTTAGGATCGCCGCATCTATAGCATCGAGTCCTGGAGCACAACCGATTTTCTGCTTATCCACGGCAGTACGGAGATCATATATGTCCCATCGTGGGCACAAGTCCGTATCAGGTGGGTATGCCGTGGTGCGTCTCACAAAGTTTTCCTCATCGCTGTCTTGAAACGGATCATCCCTGGGGTACGTCCTCGCAATGAAGATTTCGGCTGCCTCCTCAAAGTTGGTTGCCTGGACGTCTCCGTGCTTGAGGGCTGCCAATGTTTGCTGTGTACTAAACTTCCCCATGGCCACCCTATAAGGAATACCCCAGGAATTCTTCGTGGACTCTTCAACAATGAACTCATCCCAGGACTTTTTCTTCTGTGAACGCACCTCGTTTCGGTATACCCGGGCCTTGGACTTGTACTGATCACGGAGTGTAGAGCGCCTCTCGTCGCAACTACACCTCTGATACAACCGCCATGCCTTGTAGAGCTCTCTCTTAAGGTTTGTTAAGGCCGGCGTCCACCATGGGACAGGTCGAGCTTTCGCCTTCTGGTGCTGAAGGGATTCCTCAGCGTTATCACAGACAATATTTGTGATCCTAGACACCCTGTAATCCAGGTCATTAGTCTGTTCTATTTCCGCTCCATCCCATTCATCATCTACCAATTTTCCCTCCAGCGTCGACCGGAAGGCATTCCAATCTGCCCTTGGGGTTAGATAACCCTAGGCAGTACCGTGGGAACTTCCTGAATTTTCCACCAGCCTGAAGGATATCGCTTGGTGGTCGGAACTCGTCTCAGATCGGAGGATCCAATCAACGATGCGATTGGCTATTAATGGCGTTGCCAGTGTAACGTCAATCCAACTCTGCCCCCTTGCGCTAGAGAAAGTAGGGGTAGCAGAGGGATTGTTTAATACTACTAACTGGTTCTGGGAAATAAATTCGCCTAGCTTTGCGCCTCTTCTATTCGTTTGATTGGATCCCCAGACCGTGTTCCAGGAGTTGGTATCAGAGCATATGATCACATTTCTGGTGGTAGCCGTGATCATCTCCATGGCGGATATGTCTTCGTCAATATCGTTGCTATCAGGTAGGTAGGCTGATACCAACGTAAAAGCTACATTACCCCACTTGAAATAGCAAGCGACGGAATCCGCCATCGTATGCTGTCTCAGATCCATCACATCGAGATTCGGTTTATTAACCACTATAGCAGCCCTGGGCCTCCTCTCTCCACTGCTGAAGGCGATAACCCTCGATGTGAGGCCAAACCCCGTGACTATGTTCTCACGGCAGCTCGGTTCTTGGACCGCCATTATGTCGTATCATTGGGAGAGAGCACGAAGTTCATCTGCCACAATGTGTCGGCGGCCCATGTTGAGCTGGAGGATGGTAAGCTTACTCATAGAAGGTTCTCTTAGCTACCTCTTTGGCCCACTGTAGATGCACAGGGCATTCCCTGCTACCCGCCTTGTGTTTCCTTTGAACAACGGAAGCATTTGCCCGCACACAATTTATGCAGCTTGGACTAGCCTGTTCTCTTTTCTTTGGACACTCTTTAATTACATGGCCACTAGCTGAACACCAAATGCAGACTACTGCATCTACTGTGCACGTGGCCTTGGTGTGACCGTAGCCCTGACATCTACTGCATCGAGGAGCATCGACATAATCTTTAAAGGTTATGGTCCACCATCCTCCGTCTAGGCAATATTCAAATTCTTTAAAAAAGTTCCGTTAAGTGAACAATAAACAGTAATTGAGCTTAGATTAGATTTAAAATTTATCTTCTATGTCTTAAATTATACATGATTCTAATGTGTTGTTTTTTGAGCAGCTATGAATAAAAGTCAATTTTTAGATCAACTTGTAGCATAATCGACAGAACTTTCAAACAATAGTTTTTAAAAGTGAAAGTTTTTTTTCTACTTCAAGCCCTGTTAACAACAAGAAAATAATATTGCCCCTATAATAAATTACTAATTAAATAAATATATATTTTATTTAGTAAAAGTGACTATAATTCTTCTATATATTATCACTCAATTTCTTTTCAATATTATTTAAATATAAGATGATTTATGATCCTTATAAAACTTACAAAAAAAAAATTGAAAATGAATCTCCATATGTTGTAATTCCATCCTCAGCCGTCAAACACAATGTTTTTAGTAATAAGCCAGAACTTTAGTTTGTTTTAAGTAAATATTGCGATCATGAAAATTTTCATGTCTGAGTTTTCAATGGTAATACACGTTTTGAGGTACCCTGAGACCCAATAACCAAGTACCAAAAATTGGTCTGTGTGTATGTGAACACACTAGCTCAAAAAAAAAATTCATATGAAACTGATATTACGTATTTAAGATAGGTATATGCCTTAGATTTCCTAGCAACTTTTTCCTTAAAATCAGCTAACCGGAAATGCCACTTAATATGAACGCTGAAACACATTTTTACAATTTACTCAAAAACGGCTCTAACAATTTTGATTAAACTCGGTGTATCATTGTATAATTAAGAGGTTTTTAATACCATTTAGGTCTTATCCCCGTTGATGTCACTTTACAGGGCTTAAATGCCCAATGTTCATATACGTCTTCTTCTAAAGTACCTTTAATATGGTTCATTTCAAATAACTAACTAACTCTCATTATTAAAAGTTACGAAAAAATGCTAAATATAACTTTTGAAAGAATATGATAATTGAATAAAGGAGAAAAAAATTAAAAATGCTTATCCAGGTCGAAAATGAATGTCCCAAAATAACAGTCATAAGGTATACGTATAATATATCGTTGGAAAGCGGCGAATTTTAGAAAAAAGAATATCTAATATAGAAAGTTGTAGAAGGTAACGGAGAGTGGCGAAAAAATTATAAATAATAATTTTTGAAAACTAATAATACTTAACATATATCACATGTTTCAAGGAAGTTAAATGATATTTACTAACTAAATGTAAACTTTAAAAAGTATTTTTAAGTTTGTAAAAAATATTTAAAATCCACCTAATTAAGGCATGGTTTTGTTAAAAAAACTATTTCATTGTACTTGTATGATAGAAGATGTAAAATATAAAATCATTTCATGTATGTATAAGAATATGTTTATAACCTTAAATACATTTACTGTAGTTTAGTGATTATAGATCTGATATTATATTAAAGGTTATTAGATTAAAGAAAAATGGGAGAGAAGTCGCTTTCCAGTGGATACCAGGCCATTGCGGGCTTCACGGAAATGATGAAGCTGACAAAATGGCCAGAATAGGTTCTGGAATGATCCTACCAGATATTCCTCTGGACATGGATTCAACAAAAAGAATAATAAAACAGAATCTCCAAAGTTCACTGAAGGAGAAATATGCGCAAACAATTAAAGGGAAACGATGGAGTGGATTGCTGAAAGAAAGTGGCAGGATCCCGAGAGACATCCCTAGACGGCAAGCCGTGGCATGCTTTAGAATGCTCAGAGAGCATGATTGCCTGCAGAAGCACCTCCACCGCATTGGTATAAAAGATAGACCGACATGTCCTGCATTACAAGCCATAAGATGTTGCTTTAGTGAAATGGACAGCCCTTATGCTAGGAGAGCAAAATTATATTGGACTGCAAGAGCATGCATGGCTGATCAAGCAGGTGTTACTTAGGCATAGGGGGAAAAAAAAATATCTTAGAAACAATACAAAAAATTAATATCATAACTTTTTTTTCAACCTGAAAAAACAAATGTAAAGCCCGGGAACAATAAATGGTCAAATAATATAAGAATGACCCAAGTGTAACAAAATGACCTAAACTCTTTTGTATATCAGAAATAGTTAATATTATGATTTTACAGTGGGAAAATTAATTAAAGTACTCAATGATTAAAGTTTAGCAAATATTCCTTAATTTCTTTTTTTCAATAAACTGGCAATATACCCTATTGCAAATTCCGATTTTTAACATAAATAGTTAGGTTTTTAATTTATTTTTCTGTCTAAGATGTACAAATTATGATTATTATACTAAACCACTTTTTAAATATTATTTTGTTTACTGATTATGTTACTGGTGTTTCAGGCTACGGTGAGGGTTCCATGCCAGGTCCAATATGCCCACAAGCTCGCATTTTTAGTTGGCCAGGTGCTCCACATTCCTCCAAATTCTGGGCTCAGTCATCTTTTATATTTCCTTTAAGAATTTTTATTTATTTCTCAGTTTGTTGGGAAGAATTTTGTGTAACATTTGTAAAGTAATATTTTTTATATATATATATATATATATATATATATATTTATTTTTTTATATAAATTTTATTTTCATAGAATCAAACAATGGGTGTATTTTTGTTTTGAAAAGTAATTCTTTAATTTTTCTTATATTATTTGGCTACTTTTGTATTTTTTAGTTGTTTATTATAAATTACTCAGTATATTTGTTTGTTTTTGTTTATATTAGTTAATTTAACTATAGAACTGAGCAGAGTTCATTAATTTGTGTAACGGACAGATATTTATTTTATGTATCTGGAAAACATTTTTATTATTTTAAGTTGTGTCATTTTTTTTTTTTTAAACAACTAAATTTGTTTAGTCTTCATATTCTATATTAAACTTGTTTGTTATTTACCATATTTTATTCTTACTACTTATTTTATTGATAGAGATTTGATGGTTGATAAAGTGTTTTTCAATCCCACCTTGTTTTCTCTTTCGGTGCTTAGCGTAACACTAAATTGATCTATAATTAGTGTGCTGTTTACTCTATTTAAATAATCTTAAATAAATATGTTTGTCCATTTTCAGAAGAAGGATTGACTATTTTTTTATTATTAATAGTTTATAAATAATTTTTTGTTATATATATATATATATATATATATATATATATATATATATATATAATATATAATTTCCTTATAGTTAATTTTTTTTCGTTACCAAGTTTTGTACGAATTAAGTTTTTTTTGGGGGGGTTTGTAAATAATGTTTATATTATTGGTAATTGATGTTTCAAATAATAAAAGACCTGAGAGTGAGTCATGAAGGGTAAATTGTACTATAATTAATAACATTTTGATCTCATGGAAATTGAATTATGTTTAAATTAGAAAAAAAGTTTTTGTAATAAATTACATGTTTGTTGTTCTTGTAGATCACTCTTTCCAATACTTGCAGATCTACTTTGTACATTAATTATTGTCATTGTAAGTTAACTTAATGATAATTATGTACATTAAATAAAACATAATTGTATATTATCTGAACACTGCCATTTTTTTTGTTACTTAAGTATTTTTGTCTCATTGATCTATGTTTTTCCACATTAGATCTTATATTTTCATTTTTTTACATAAAATAAATTTACAAAACAACTTCTGTTATCATTTATTTTGTTGATAATCTTTTATGAAAACCATGTTCTGTGGGAGATTCATCCTTCTCCCTTACAATAATAATTCCCTCTCTTACAGTATGCAGATCCTGTAAATATTAATAGTTCAGAAATTTATCCTCTCTGTAATGGGCTATTGTTCAAAATTGTATCTTAAGGCGACGCCGTTTTAGTGAGGCAAAAAGAGGATAATTGAGTCGAAAACCAAATGACAATGGGTTTTATTAAAGATATATATTAAAATATCAATGAAAATAAAAATCGGACCTGCATACTGTAGGCGAGGGAAATGTTCGCCATTTCATTCCCTTTATAATGAACTGTTATTGATATTTCATATTATTAACGTTGCCTTGTTGATGTCTTCACTTCTTTCCTTTTGTATAAAGCACACACCTTAGTTTTTACTTTCAATTACCTATATATGTATGGGAAAGTATTGCAATCGTGAAAATTTTCGAATCTGTGTTTTCAACGGAAATACACGTTTTGGGGTACCCTAAGTACAAATAACCAAGTCCTGCAAAATGGTGTGTGTGTGAACAGTCTAGTTCAAAAACAAAAGTCGTGTGAAACTGTTATTATGTATTTAAGATAGGTATATGCAGGATGTGACAGCAACTTTTTCCTTAAAATCGACTTACCAGAAGTGTCACTTTATATCAACGGCGAAACAGATTATTACAATTTTCTCAAAAACGGCTAACAATTTTGATTAAACTCGGTACATAATTAAGTGGTCTTTAATATCATTTAGGTCTTATCCCCGTTGATGTCACTTTACAGTGCTTAAATACCCAATGTTCATATACGTCTTCCTCCAAAGTACCTTTAATATGGTTCATTTTAAATAATAAATGTCTCATTAATAACAGTTACACAAAAAATGCTAAATATAACTTATGAAAGAATTTGATAATTGAATAAAGGAGAATGAAATCTCCAGAAATACTAGTCAGAAGGTATACGTATAATATATCTTTGGAAAGCAGAGAATTATAGAACAAAACAACATGCAATATAGAAAGTTGTAGAAGGTAACGGAGAGTGGCGAAAAAATTATAAATAATAATTTTTGAAAACTAATAATATTTAACGTAAATCACATATTTTCAAGAAAATTAAATGAAATATACTAATTAAATATAACTTTAAAAAATATTTTTTAAGTTTGAATAATAATAATAATAATAATAAAAGGTTTAGCGAACCCGAAGGTTGGATGCCAATACCACCAATCCCTTACTACACACCTCCCTCCACCGTTCGCCGCCCAAACCTAGCACTTCAGATCGGCTTTAATGCAATCTTCCAACCTTCCCTTCAGTCTACCCCTAGGATGCTTACCATTCGGCACAGCAAATATTAACCTTTTAGGAATTTTCTTGTTACTAAGCCCAACAACTTTACAAGCCCATTTGATTCGCCGCGATGAAGTTACCTCAATTATATTACCGGGATACAGTTCACGCAATGCGGCATTGTATAACCGTCTGAACTCTCCTGTTAACTCATCCTTCTTCGGTCCGAATATTCTATGCAATACTTTATTTTCAAAAACCTTAAGACGCTGCTCATCCCTCAATGTAAGCGGCCAAGTTTCGCATCCACAAAGAACTGTAGGCAAGATAATTGTTTTATAGGTTCTAATTTTTAAGTTCTGGGACAAGAGGCGCGAACTAAGTAGTTTTGTCACAGAAAAATAAGGATTTCTCGCCTTCAGTCTAACCTTAATCTCTCCTTCAATTTCGTTTTTTCTAGTTATCGTAGAACCTAGATACCTAAATTTATCTACCTGTTCAAACATATTACCATCTATATCGATATTACCAGTAGTACCGCCATTTTTGCAGCTAACCATATATTTTGTTTTATCCACGTTTATTTCGAGTCCTAGTTCTTTACCGGCTTTTATTAACGTTGTCGTATTTAGTTTTATAGTTTCAACGTCTTCGCTTAACAGTACCAGATCATCAGCATAGCCCAGCACGGATGTTGTCCCACCCAGATCCAACCCTTTCTCGGTACTCATTACCTCCCTAATGGCATGTTCTAATGCCAAATTGAACAGGACAGGCGAAAGGGAATCCCCTTGTTTTAAACCCGAACGCACCTCAAATTTTTTGGACAGATTATTACCGATTCTAACTTTATTGAGTGTCCCCGTCAAGCACATCCTGACTAGATTTACTAGTTTTTTTGGAATCCCCTGCTCGATTAGAATATTATACAGTTTCTGGCGGTCAATAGAATCGTAAGCCTTTTTGAAATCGATATACTGCTGGTGAACAATACCGTTGCACTGCAATTTTTTCTCTAATATTTGTCGTAAAGAAAATATTTGATCAATAATCGAACGATTCCGTCTAAATCCGCATTGGTAGTCTCCGATAATTTCCTCGGCGTATTCCGTGATTCGACTGGTTAAGATTAAAGTGAATATTTTATAACATACCGGAAGGAGTGAAATTCCTCGATAGTTATTACAATCCGTTCTCGGACCGTTTTTGTGAATCGGAATAAGAATAGATTCTTTCCATTCTTCAGGTAATTTCTCATTCACCCAGATCTTTTTAACCAACCAATGTATTTTAGAAACTCCAGCTTCCCCGCATGCCTTAATTAGTTCAGTACACTAGCGGATCCAGGATTAAATTTTTTGGGGGGGAGGGGGTGCTTCAGCCCGGAAGATTTTTTTTTCATACATAAAACGATAATTACTTTAGAAAAACAGAAAGATACTAACTACCTATATCTGTAATGCAAGTATAAGAGAAGACACACTGAGAAAAAGATCAATGATGAAGAGGAGAATACAATAGAAGAAACACCAGCTGAATTACCTAAGTCCATGGAAGAAGGTAAATATAACAATTGCATTGAAAAACAGATAAATCTAGAAGTTCATTGCCTAATTGAGAAGAATGAAACTGAATCCTTTGTAACTATCTCTGATATCAAAGAAGAGGGCCCATCAAATATTTATAAAGATATAGTTAATTCTGGTATTTGGTTCAAAGAGGAAGTAAGTGATGAGACTAGTAGTTCCTCTGATACAGTGAGCTCTGATGTTTGGATTAAAGAAGTAAATGATGAAACCGTGTCCTCTGAAATTGTTAACTCAGCTGTTTGATTTAAAGAAGAAATAATTAATGAGCCTGAACTCCTAGAGAAATAGATCGACATGAAGAGGAGTGCTATTTTGAATTTTTTGCCATTTTCAGATTTTTCTCAGCTTTCTATTTTTTTTTTCTCCCGTAAATTCCTCTGTTTCACATGAGGCGCTTGGTTTCAATATTCAAAATTTTTCACAAGTTTTCGAGGTTTATTTTTATAAATTTTTTTTTTTTATTTATTTTAAATGATATTTACAACTGTATACAAAAAATACATCTAGTAAATTTGCACATTGGTATAAAGACATGGAACACATGTTGAGAAACTACCCATTGGTAGCACTCTAATAATATGTCTATATTAGAAGATCACGTGGCCATCTTCTTTTCAGACGCCTCGGAGGGTTATCAGGAATCGAATAGGAAGCAAGGTTAGAGACAAGAGGGTTGGGATGGTTATGAAGTTTATTATGGAAGGACAGATATCTGGATTGGGCCAAATCTGATACATAAGGAACATTAAGGTCATTATGGATAATTTTATTTGTAACAAAGTAAGGAGCATTGAGGATTTTACGAAGGATTTTGGATTGCAAGGACTGTATGCGAGAGGAATTTGAAGGCTTGGTGGAGCCCCATAGCTCAACCCCGTAAGTCCAAATAGGCCTTATTATAGTCATGTAAATCAGTCTTTTATAATTGATTGGAAGGTTAGAGCGTTTGTCTAGTAAGTGTTGAAGTACTCGGAAACGTCGAGCGGTTTCTTGTCGTTTCAG